AAAGATGGGGCTGAATGAGGGGAAATTTATCAGCTGAACTGATAGTTACCCTTCTTTCCAGGTTATATACTTTTTGGTAACCCCGCATCTCAAATGGAACAATTAGCTTCTGCAAGGGGTTATATATTGACATGTCATTATTACGAATCGCGCAATTTATGTTTACGTTTTGGATCATCAAGTATATAACTAAGAATAATAATGTATATAAGAGTGTGTTTAGGCATTTAGGAAAGAAAGGGACCTGAGGCTGCTCACAGAGCCAACAAAATGGTGTTTGGCCTTCTACTCTGACCTGTAGTAGAAAGTTTTGGATTTATCGATCAGACATTACGGTTAACTATCGGACGATTATATACCAATCTTTTAATCAAATCTAGATGTTCACCGATGCAGGTATGGCCTCCCAGTTTGCAAGCTCTTCACAAGTAACACAGCCGACCACATCAACACAACCTGTTCAAAATGACGCTTTCACAAACACAATGAGCCATGCTTGTCAAAATAATTCTTGCTTTCAATTTCAAATTTTTTCAGTTAGTGTTGTAAAAATTTCATTCACCATGTTAGCTGATAAAGAAAAAAGGATGTGGCCTAAAAGACAAGTGATCAAATCGCAACTAGAGTAAACACGCAGTATGTGTATCATCGTCATTAATGTTGCGCCATGCCATTGAACTATGGGAGAAAAATCATGATTTGATCCTCATAAAGACATTAAGTATAATCAAACACATAATCAGATACCTATAAGTCTCGAAACTGGATAATGCTCAGGGAACTTGAGATCCGTTACACCATCCATTGCATAAATTTCCCTGTAAAAGTCCTCCATTGCTTTTATCGTCTCTGGTTCAGGAATCTTGCCAGCAGCATGAATCCAGAGGCGTCCTTCATAAGCAGAAAATTAAAGGGATTAAAAAAATATTATTGAAAAAATAAATACGGAAATTGTCAACTCCAATATCGTCCAATATTTGTACACACACACACAAAAGAAACAAGGAACCTCAGGTAAGTTAATCTAAGGCCAAGTCCACCTAATTTACTCATTAATGACTTTCTCTGGAGCTTAATGCTGTGACGGACCTTTGGAAATAAATTGGATACTTCATCCTAAAATCGAGAAGTCAGACATTGTAATATAAAAGAGTACGAGGACCAAAAAGATACAAACATAAAGCTCCAACTAGAACTTTGAAATGCAATGTTGCCGCCTCCTAACATCAAGATGTCACTAGCAATGCATGAACATTCTATCATTAAAAGTCCAAATTCAACATTAAGATTAAATGAACTGATGTAAAGAAGAATTTCTTATTATCTTTATAAAGTCTGGTATTTAGATCTACTAGGACTTCATTCGAGTTCTAGTGAAACGTATAAAGTTTCTGAATTTCCAAAATTAATTTTGTACATCAACACAGTCCTGACCTACTGGCTCAGAAATTTCAATAATAAGCATACGATATTAAACTTACACGTCTATATCTCACTAACACACGTCAACCCAAAGTATTAACCAATTATAGATGAATATTGCCTAAAGTAGATGAAACGGTGTTAAATAGTTCAAAGCCCAAGTCATGATATGATCTTACTTACAATACAGATGAACCAAGAATTCTTACTCACTACATTAAAGGCCTATCAATAACCAATATACCCTGAAAGGGAGAGCTTCTAGACCCAAAATCATATTGCATTTAGGTAAACATTAAAAACATGAATAAAAATCGGGTTCAAAGTCGTAACTTTTGGGGATACTTAAAATAAATCTATGAGAACTAAATCCCAAATTCAACTACTTACACTCCTAACATTGACTTCCTCGTACACAAATTAACACAAATTAGCAAAGCCATATATCATTCAGGAGACAAATGCAACGGTTACCTAATCATATTATCCTGTTAGTATCAATATAGCTTTATAACTGTTTTAGGAGAATCTCGGGTATTCATAAATATTTTTTCTCAAAGATGAAAGTTACAAACTTCTAGTCGGCGGCTTGTACTTGAAAAACAAAACACCATCCACCTTAGAATGAAAAATCGCCTCTTTTTTTCCCCCTTAAGTATATTTACACGACCCGAACAAGCAAGAATCGGTAATTTAGTCCCAACACTCATAAGACAAAGATATGATAAAAACATCACCTTTACAAAACTAAACAAACTATAAGCAGCCCATCGAAACAATGAAATCCTCAAACTCAAAAATTCAAGAAACATCAAATTCATAACCGTACGAGAACAATCAGCAACAAATTTCAACCAAATTGTACAAAACCCAAAAAAAAATTGAAATACGGTACAGTACCACGAATAGGGGCGGGCCAAGATCTGCCTTCAATTCGTTTGATGCCATACACAAGTAAAGAAGCCCACGGCTGATGCAATGTTAAACATGGGTTTCGATAGTTCGATGATTCTAGGTTTCGCCTGCTACCCATGTCGTAGAGCAGAAAAATATAATCTTGTTTCAATCTATTTCCGGAAAGGAAATTAAGAGTCATGACGCCTTTACAAGAAGCAGATTTATTATTTTCTTGTTTGGGCAATTGAATTTTGAGCAATAAGAATTTAGAAGTAAGTTGAGGCCACGTTTGTCGGATGTTATTTGGGCTTAATATCAAGCCCATTAGTTATATTTCCTAATGTCTAATTCATTATGTTGGACAAATTGGAATTTATATCTACAGAAAATTACCCTACAATCGAGTTTTTTTTTTTTTTTTTTTCCGTAATGATAGAAAATTATATAACAAAAACACATAATTACAATTAGAGAACAACCCGACAATTCTTAAGCTGAATCTAGTGGGAAGACAGATTCGAAAATCAGCCTAAAAGCTAACAATAGCATACAACGCACCCACAAACAAAATACACGCTAAAACTAACAAGCTCCACAATTGGAGAATACACAACTGCCCAACGGGAGAATACACACTCCCATACGGGAGAATACACAAAACACAAAACCACGAAAAATGAAAAACACATAACAAAACGAAACACAAACAAAACACAAGCTAGACAGAAAAATTAGACAAGCCCTTCCCACAGTTGAATAGCACACCGAGAGCAACACGACGACAAGAAACTCGACCAACCATCCAAACCATAGTTTTTAAACCCGGCCCAGTGATCGACCCGGGCATGTCTTCGGGTCACCGGTTCAACCGTTGGGTCACCGGATCAATTGCTGAACCGGATAATTAATTTTAAAATTTTTAAAATTATATCTAGAGTATTTTTGTTATATAAATATACATAAAAGTAACATAATTAAATGTTTTGTGTATAAAATTTGTAGATTAAAGTGTTAATAATATGAATCTCATGATAAATATTTATAAACATATATACATATTTTTATTTTTAAAAAACAAAAAAATAAAAAAATATATAAAAAATATATATGGACCGGGTCAACCGGGTTGACCCGGCCGGGTCAATGCCCCGGGTCGGCCGGGTTTTGACTGGGTCCTTGGTTGCCCGGTCCAAATACTCCACCCGGACCGGTTCCGGCTCCGGGTCGACCCGCCGGGCCGGTTCAGGTCTCAAAACACTGATCCAAACGGGTCGGACCACACCTCAAGAAGCCACTCCAGAAACTGTCGAACTCGCCTAACCGGAAGGGCATCCCAAGAGCCTGATCTAGCACCCAGACGGTCGACCCCAGCCCCGCCACCAGAGAACCACCGACTAACTCCCCATACACCTCCGCCGCCCCGAACCCAGCTCACACCACGGACCAAGAACGGAAAAAACGTCAGCCGCCCCTTCACCCAAACACCAGAGGAAAAGAGGCCAAGGGTAGATGCTCTCAGATCCTCCACCCCGACCACCACAACCAGCAGCCAGGGTCGCAGCCACCACCCAACACCGCCTTTTCCTGCCTCTACCGGGAGACCAGAAGTCGCGGGCCCTCCTTTCCCGAACAGCGACAGAACAAACGCCAAAGACCGCCAGGGGAGACCACCACCTCCTTTGCCGCTAGAGACCGACATAAGCGAAAATCGAAAGCCAACCACGCAGCTAGAGCCGGCCGCCGGCGTGAAGCCGTGGCGATTCGCTGGGGAAGGCACAAAATCAAACATTTGGAGAGCTAGATAAAAGGGGGAACGGGTTTCTTTTTGGGGTTTTACAAGTTTCAAGGGTATGTTTGGTATGATTTTAACCGGACCGGACCCCCTACAATCGAGTTAAACCAAAAATAATGGCATATCTACTACTACCTCCTTTTTTTAATAAGTGTCATTTTGAGAAGTTGCACAGTAATTAAGAATATTTTTTTTTTCCAACAATAACTCTTATTAATGAGGATAGAGATGGATGTTTTGAGAAAAAATGAAGAGTGAATATGAAAAGACGTAGTGTATTTATTAGCTAGATAAGGGTAATAATGAAAAAATATGTACACAAGGTCCAAAACGTCATTTATTTAGTTAATTGTTGATAAAGTCAAAAATGACATTTATTAAAAAAATAAAAGGAGGTAGTATCTTATATTAGTTTATTAGCATAAGTAAACAAACTCATTAAAATATCTGCAGATTTACAATACATATAATGTTTAAGGAGAATGCTACCATCCCGTTACGAGATGGTTCCGTTGTGTTTTCTAGCCATAGATATACATGTAATCTAGTGATGGGTAGTTAATCCAACGGTTAAAAACACAACGGAATCATCCCGTAACGGGATGGTAGTATTCCCCAATGTTTAATTACCTTTCTTAAAGGGATTTATTATAGTAGGTTGAGTTTTTTTGGATAACGGACGGATTTAATGGGAGTGAGAGATCTTATGTAATTACTCTTTCAAAATAACTGTTCCATTAACACGCAAACTCATCATTTTTCTCCATTATCATACTTCCACGTGAAAGAAAATTGCAATTGAAAATGGCGAAAATAAATCCCCCTCTTACGTCAGAGGTTGACTTCCTTGCGGTGAAGATGCTCCACGATTGAAGGAGACGCTTGTGCATAAAAAGCTTCAACTAGATAAAGGTGGGTCTAAAAAATTGCGAAAAAAGAAAAAAGATGGCGAAGAAAAGATAACTGCAAACACTTCCGCCGTCGTCAACGAAATCCCCACGATAAAGAAGTGAACATAGCGGAAGAAGAAGTCTAACA